ACACCTCTATTTATACGCATAGCCTACAGGTCTCTGCTGTCTAATGTGTGTGATACTCGCCTTGGTGGCGAGAGGTTGCAGGCTCAAATCCCGACAGACACTTTGTTATTATTTATCTATTGATTTATATTGTGTTTACAGTGCTACGCAGCAGACTTGATTTAAATATTATTTACTATAATTTTCCAGCTGCAACCTATAAGCTTTTCTAGCTTAACTACGACTCCACTATATGTGAGTGTCGGCAAGAAGGTATATATAGCCGAGGATTTCTTAAGTTGTAACAATTGGGATTTTTTCTCATAATAATGCAACATAACAACCATAGATGGACGTTTCTTATAATTGAACCTATACATAAAATTTTTTATTTGTATTTTATGAAGATCGTATATTATTATTTAAATATTATTTACTATAATTTTCCAGCTGCAACCTATAAGCTTTTCTAGCTTAACTACGACTCCACTATATGTGAGTGTCGGCAAGAAGGTATATATAGCCGAGGATTTCTTAAGTTGTAACAATTGGGATTTTTTCTCACAATAATGCAACATAACAACCATAGATGGACGTTTCTTATAATTGAACCTATACATAAAATGTTTTATTTGTATTTTATGAAGATCGTATATTATTATTATTATTGACTATTTTAAGTTAAGTAAAGCGAGGTTAAAATATTTGACGCAAAAATAAATTGAGTTTATCTATTATACTGATTAATTTTTAAAATAATGTTGGAAATACAATTTTTTATTAAAGTCTGTTTCACATTTTCGTGTATAAGCACACACACGCACACACACACCCTGCCACACCCTTATTTGAGATGGTCCACTCATCAAATTTAAGCAGTTCGTAATTTACAGTATTGAATAGTGTGTTCAGATTCCTGTGGCACACAACGGGCTATCTCCCGTCGACGGTTTACAAGATCCAATAGTAACGAATTGCTTCCTATCAAAATAAAATATGTTTTAACCAATTCATTGCGATACCTCTAATCCCATAATGTCTTAGCTTGTCAATTAATATTATTTGATTAATAACATTAAATGCTTTAGATAAAAATAAACTAAGTATGATTTTTTTTAATATTCAAAAGCATTAATGATATTGTTAACTAGATTGATGCGAAGTAGAAAGATTCTTTCTAAAACAGTATTGGTAGGGATTGAGAATGTTATATTTTGTCAGGAGGTTAAGCAGTCTAGAATACATGAGTTTTTCAAAGATTTTAGAGAAGATGGAACAAATTAAAGTAATAAAATTTGCCCATAATTAGATTGTATAAGAGAGTCTTCTTTTTTAAAGAATAGAAATGACGTTAGCAAGTTTAAGGTGATCAGGAAAAATAGCAGTTGAAAATTATGAATTAATACCATATGTGAGGTGGGTAATAATTAAGAGAGACTGGTTTTGAAGTGCGTGAAGTAGCACCGTCACTGCAGCCCTGCTCCTTTATTAAGGTCATTCATAGTTAGCCGAACTTCATTATTTAAGGCAGAAAAAGTATAGAAATAATTAGAAAAGGGGGTTGTTGGAACTAACAGGAATTACATTTGCAACGTTTGCGCCAATTAATAGGAAATATTTATTAAAGAATCTTACAAAACAAGTGTACACCCGCCGTATAAAAACAAAGTTTGCTGAGTCATGCAACACACCTCAAAAGATACGAACTGCTTACGACTACGTAAGGGAGGTGTCGTCAGACAGCCCACATTTTAGATGTTCATTTGCTACCTGTGATATGGGAGTAGATATATTGTACCGGTAGCCTATTTGAGACAATGAACCTTCTGGAAGAAGCACACTGTTTGTGACGAGTATAAAAGAGAAGCGGTATTTGAATTAAAGGCTTTTTATTTGAATATTTTAACTTATTTTGAATTATTTGTATTTTACCCCACTATACCTCAAAATTGATGATTATGTATAATGAAGTTTGGAGAGAAAGGAAGTGATAACATCATCATAATGGTAGATTGGAACACTGTTGTGGGAGAAGGTAGAGAGAGAAATGAAGTTAGCTCGTATGGCCTTGGAAATAGAAATGATAGGCAGTGGCGTGAAGTCTTGAATTGGTGG